ATATATATATATATATATATATATATATATATATATATATATATATATATATATATATATATATATAGTAAAAGAAAAGTTTTGCAAACAAAAAATAAAGTTTTGAGCAAAAAATAAATAAATGTAAATCTCCAAAAATCGCAAATAATTTTTAAAAATAAAATAAACGTTAATTTTGCTATCAAAAATAAGTAAACTGCAAAGGCAAATAAAAATTAACATTGCAAACAAAAAACGATCTGCAAATAAAAATCAAGCAGTGCCAAAAAATAAAATATTTGCAATAAAAAAACTAGATATATTTGCAAAACATTTCATGTCAATTGCAACGCTCATTTTGATTCACTTTTTAGTCACTGTGAGTTTGCAATGCTGTTTTCACTTTGCACTTCACGTTTCTGCGAGTTTCACTTTGTGGCCCTGATTTTACAAGGGGGCGGAGTCAAGGGAACATCTGTTGGACTGCATCCTAATCATCACTAATACTGCAGAAGACCTACTGGAACCCGCATGGAGCCAAGATTCTCACAGAAATCAGTCAAGTTTGGTGAAGGAAACATCATGGTTTGAGGTTACATTCAGTATGGGGGTGTGCGAGAGATCTGCAACAGCCTGAGGTATCAAGACATCTGTGCTGCCCATTACATTACAAACCACAGGAGAGGGACAATTCTCCAGCAGGATAGCGCTCCTGCTCATACTTCAGCCTCCACATCAAAGCTCCTGAAAGCAAAGAAGGTCAAGCTGCTCCAGGATTGGCCAGCCCAGTCACCAGACATCAACATTATTGAGCATGATGAAGGAGGAGGCGCTGAAGATGAACACAAAGACTCTTGATGAACTCTGGGATCCTGCAGGAACACTTTCTTTGGCATTCCAGATGACTTTATTAATCAGTGATTTGAGTCATGTCAGAGATGTATGGATGCAGTCCTCCAAGCTCATGATGGAGTCAGACACAATATTCATTCTGTCTCCACTGCAGCAGGACTTTATATTCTATACTGGACATTATTTCTGTTCAGTGATGAGACTTTAGTCTGAGCAGAGTCAGACCGCACTGTCCTCATCAAATCAGTCAACATCAAGACATGATCAGATTTTATTGAGCTCAAATAAGTGTAATCTAGCGGCCTTTACCTTTCATATAAGACACTTCTGATACCAAATCATCATCAACTAGAAGTCAAGTTATGATTTGTTGTTCCTAAAACTTGGATAGGCGACAAGACTTTTGTCAGGTAGTGTAAATCCTAATATTACATGTCACAAACACACTGGAGACTGTTAAAATGAACTGGTTTTAATAGTAAAAACACATATATTTTGTAATGTTTTAATGGTATTCGCAGTGGGGGAAAAATAACGTCTGTGATTAAAAAAAAAAAGAATTAAATACAGTAAACACATTGTAAAACTATTAAACACAGCACTACGGATATACCATACATAGGCTGGGCTTCCCGGATTGTTCACCACTTTGAAAGATTGAATTTTCCCTTGTGTTTATTATAATCATTTTTATTTCTGCATGTTTCCTGATACGCATGCAAAGCAAAAAAGACATTATCATAAACAACTTCTATTCCCATGTGTATCGGTGTTAAAATATTTATACAGCAGGATCAAAGCCTTAACGGATACAGCATAAATGGTCCCACAGTAAAAAGCATATTTTGGTTTTGTCACCGAATATGAATAACAGCATCCTCGCATTGTTTGGAACAAAGGAACTGATGTTAGTCCGGGAAGTAAGACTTCCATATTTTTAATAAAGGCGTCAGATGACCAAAAAACCCACCAAGGTCACTGAAAGGTTGCTAAATCGAAACCAAAAGACAAGACGATCATTCATTGATTCATTGATTGATTCATTGATTGATTCATTCGTTCATTCGTTCATTCATTCATTCATTCTCCTTCAGCTTAATCCCTTTATTCATCAGGGGTCACCACAGCGGAATGAGCCGACAACTTATCCAGCATATGTTTTACACAGCAAATGCCTTTCCAGCTGCAACCCAGTACTGGGAAACACCCATACATTCTCATTCACACTACGGCCAGTTTAGTTGATCAATCCCCCTATAGCACATGTGTTTGGACTGTGGGGGAAACCGGAGCACCCGGAGGAAACCCACGCCAACATGGGGACAACATGCAAACTCCACACAGAAATGCCAACTGGAAGTCCTTGGACTAGAAGCAGTGACTTTCTTGCCATGAGGTGACAGTGCAAACCCCTGTGTCGCCCTTAATCTCTTTGTATAAGCTGCAAATGACACAATAAACATCAAAACATTCATATGAACGGTTTAAAGGCTCCTCGGATGCTCCTGTGGTGTTTCTGAGGTCAGGTTATGTAGGTCAAACCTTATCATCACACATCTCAGATTTCTTTGATTATAATTCATTCATCATTTTCTGATCCTCTGCACTGGTTTCCACTTTCTACATAGCCGGCATAAATAGATGTGCAAAGATCATTTAGATGATGTTAGACATGGGCTTAATGCAAGAGAAAGGTTATAATTTCATAATGTTTGTTTTAAAGAACCGATTTAAAATATCTGTTTAAATAGACTTTAAGGGGGAACTTTTATGCAAAAATTACTTTCATAAGGGGTTTAAACCCAGTTGTGCGTCAGCAGTGCGTGAATATATCCAACTTTTAATGATAAACATGAATTAATTGTGTTAATCTTCGACATTCTCCCTTGTACGTGTCATCCGAGGGGGAAAGCCCCGCCCGCTAGTGCTCGTCTCTCCATCTCATTAGCATAAACAGCAGCCCTTAGTGAGAAGCAGCCGTCTGTCCATTAGCCATTAGAGTGTTTGAGCTGCTGAAGATGATGCCAGCATAGACTAAGAGGATTATAGATGTGGAGTTTTGGATGAAGCACAAATGAACAGCGACAGGAGCGACATAGACTGATAGAAGCATCAAGCACACATTGACGTTCACATTTTCACACAGATAACATTAGTCCAAGGGGCGTTGCTAGACATGAAGCTCTACTGGGGCACAACCCCACTCAAAAATAAAAAATAAAATAAAATAAAATAAATAAATAAATACAAATATTAAATAAATAAAACAAAATAAAATCTTAAATGTATTGTTTGATTGTGATCATCAAAATAAAATAATAAATCAACAAAAATTTTTTATAAAACAATAAATTATATTAAAATAAAATAATACAATACAATACAATAAAATCTTGCATATATTGTTTGATTTTGATCATTAAAATAAAACAATAAATATAAAATAAATAAATAAATAAATAAATAAATAAAAAACTAAACAAAATCTTGCATATATTGTTTGATTTTGATCTTTAAAATTAAATAAAATATTTTTTTGATTTTGATCAGTTAAATAAAAATAATAAATAATGAATAAATAATAAATAAATAAAACAAAACAAAACAAAATCTTATATAAAATCTTATATATATATCCATTTTATTCGGTCAACACTCAGAATAAAATGTACTTTTACAGGATATTACTATAAAACGGTTGGCTTTTTCTGTTGTGATTTGCATTTGTTTACATTGTGCGCTCCAGCATTTGTCCACAAACATGGCTGACCGCAACTGATCGTGACATCGATTCCCGAGCTCTATTGGAACTTTTTGTTTTTATGATTGCATTCCTATTAATATAGTATGACCGTACATAGTGTGAATTAATTTTGCAAAGACGCGCGTCATTTTCATTCACAAAATCTCACCATGAAGTAGAAGATCATTATATGATATTCATTATACTGTTTTGTGTGTTCTGAAAATTTGGATATACTTTTCTGTCTCATACTGGATTAGATATTCATTAATTAATTTTCTTGTCGGCTTAGTCCCTTTATTAATCCGGGGTCGCCACAGCGGAATGAACCGCCAACTTATGCAGCACATGTTTCACGCAGCGGATGCCCTCCCAGCCGCAACCCATCTCTGGGAAACATCCATACACACTCATTCACACTCATACACTATGGACAATTTAGCCTATCCAATTCACCTGTACCGCATGTGTTTGGACTGTGGGGGAAACTGGAGCACGGGGAGGAAACCCACGCGAGAACATGCAAACTCCACATAGAAATGCCAACTGAGCCAGCCGAGGCTCAAACCAGCGACCTTCTTACTTTGAGGCAACAGCACCACTTACTGCGCCACCGCGTCACCCCTGGCTTATACATTTGGATTGCAATGCAGCAAATCTATTTAAAATGTTCATTGTTAGTTGGACCACTTTGTTGGATCTTTGGTTTTCTAGGTTTGAATAAATACTCTTTGGACTGAATTAGGCAGTGCTAGATCACATCATGCACTGCATAAAATATATATTTATTCAAATTGCCTAATAGAATTCTCGCTAAAAGGTTTCTTATTGTAATAATAGTCAATATCAATTTGCACCAGAAGAGAGCAGCACAAAGCAGTTGACAAATTGAACAAGAGCCCATATTTACTGGCACCTTTTCAAGACCATGTGCATTGCTTTCAATTAGTTAAGAAATGAGCTGTATTAATTGAGACACAGTATTTTCTCTAGTGAAATGAGGGCATTTTTTCCCCTCCCTGTAAAACACAAAGTTGTTATTAAATCAATGTTGTCATAAATCAAAAAGTTCAATCAAGTCTGATAATTAAAGCAGTTTTCATTCACTTGCATCAGCTTATTTACTACTTGTATCAGGCGTCAGGACAGCAGAATGATTTTATCAATATTATGCATTTTCTGAGTTTAAATTAAGAAGAAGAATTATTTTAATACATTTTTTTAAACATAATAGTTTAAACTAAGTTAAAATAACTCATTTCTATTGTCTTTGCCATGATGACAGTAGATAATATTTGACTAGATATTCTTCAAGACACTAGTATTCAGCTTAAAGTGACTTTTCAAGGCTTAACTAACTAGGCAATTTAAGTTAATTAGGCAAATCATTGACAACAGTTGTTTGTTTTGTAGACAATCAAAAAAAGATCTTAGGAGGCTAATAATATTATCCCCAGCAGTTTCTGCATTTTTAAATAAATAAATAAATAGTATTTCATAGTATACAGAATAGTATTATATTCCATCCAAACCCCAAAATAAGACTTTCTACAAAATATTACATATAATGGTAAATACTGTGTTTACACTCACAGGACACTTTATTAGGTACACCTTACTAGTATCGAGTTGGACCCTCTTTTGCCTTCAGAACTGCCTTAATCCTCAGAGATTTTGCTCCATATTGACATGATAGCATCACACAGTTGCTGCAGATTTGTCGGCTGCACATCCATGATGCCAATCTCCCGTTCCACCACATCCCAAAGCTGCTCTATTGGATTATTATATGGTGACTGTGGAGGCCATTTGAGTACAGTGAACTCATCGTCATGTTCAAGAATGGGATGATTGGCGCTTTATGACATGCTGCGTTATCCTGCTGGAATTAGCCATCAGAAGATGGAGACACTGTGCTCATAAAGGGATGGACATGGTCAGCAGCAATACTCAGGTAGGCTGTGGTGTTGATGCTCAATTGGTACTAATGGACCCAAAGAAAATCTCCCCCACACCATTACACCACCACCACCAGCCTGAACCGCTGATACAAGGCAGGATGATCCATGCTTTCATGTTGTTGAGGCCAAATTTTGACCCGATCATCTGAATGTGTGAGCAGAAATGGAGACTCATCAGAGCAGCAACGTTTCTCCAATCTTCTATTGTCCAGTTTTGGTGAGTCTGTGTGAATTGTAGCCTCAGTTTCCTGTTCTTAGCTGACAGGAGTGGCACCCGGTGTGCTCTTCTGCTGCTGTAGCCCATCCGCCTCAAGGTTGGACGTGTTGTGTGTTCAGAGATGCTCTTCTGCAGAGCTCGGTTGTAACGAGTGCTTATTTGAGTTACTGTTGCCTTTCTATCAGCTGGAACCAGTCTGGCCATTCTCCTCTGACCTCTGGCATCAACAAGGCATTTGCGCACACAGAACTGCCGCTCACTGGATATTTCCTCTTATTCAGGCCATTCTCCATCTAAAGATGGTTGTGCGTGAAAATGCCAGTAGATCAGCAGTTTCTGAAATACTCAGAGCAGCCCGTCTGGCAGCAACAACCATGCCACGTTCCAAGTCACTTATATCCACTTTCTTCCCCAATCTGAAGCTCGCTTTGAACTGCAGCAGATCGTCTTGACCATGTCTACATGCCTAAATGCATTGAGCTGCTGCCATGTGATTGGCTGATTAGAAATTTGCATTAACGAGCAGTTGGACAGGTGTACCTAATAAAGTGGCCGGTAAGAGTATATAGAACATGTATGAAAAAATAAATCATTAACAATACTCTGTGGCTCTAACAATACGATCGATCTTTCAGTATTTCTCCTTTTTTCAGTCCTATTGCTGCTTTGTTAACAATATATTGATTTGTTTACAGTAAAAACAAGTGGTTAATCATCAGTCTGGGCTCTTTTCCAGCATCTCGACTAATTCTTTGTACTCTTCCGGAGTTGCTGCACACACAAAAATATATATTCAACAAGAAAGAAAGAGTAAGTGCTAAGGAAACAATTGACGCAAATAAAATGCCAGGTACACTGTATCATATAGATCATTAAGGACAGCTGACAAAGTGGAATAAGTACTCCTACATAATGTATATATATAATTAGATGTAAGATAATATCTGCAACACATCCAACAGAGCTGTTTGCTTTAACTGTACCACTGAGTAAACCATATACCACAGTGTGTCAAAAAAACACCTACGCTGCACTTTGCATGCTTGTCATTGCACATCAAGACATGGCCTGGTCATGCAAAACTAATCATTTACACTATTGATAATAAAAAAGACACTATACAAAAAACAGCGAGTCCAGATTCAGGATTGTGCCTGCATGCATGGAAACAGAATTTAGGGGAATGATTTCAGTGACGTCCTTTTCTTATAGATAGGTAGGTTTTTCCAGGCATCAATATTAGCGTGTGGGCTTTGAGGTAGGATGTCTTGCTTTTTTTTGCTCATCATAAGGCTCCACTGTCAAAAACACCACATATGTTTCCACTGGGGTGATTAACGTTAAGTTATCCAGGGATCTGTTGATAATAATTAATGCATTAATGTTCATTTTTTTTTAAGAAATAATGTATTGTTTGGCTTTGATTTTTCGGATAAAATAAGTTTAATTAAAAACAGAATAAAAACCTACATATGTTGTTTGATTTTGATCAATAAAACAAAAAAAAATAATAATAAAGAAAATAATAAATAAATAAAACACAACAACCTTACACAGTTTGCTTGATTTTTATCATTAAAATGAAATATTAAATAAATAATTAGAAAATAAAAATAATAAATGAATTAAATAACAAAATGTTACATATATTGTTTGGCATTGATCTTTAAAATAAATAAATACAAATATTAAATAAATAAAACAAAATAAAATAAAATCTTAAATGTATTGTTTGATTGTGATCATTAAAATAAAATAATAAACAAATAAATAAACATTAAATAAATAAAACAATAAATTATATTAAAATAAAATAATACAATACAATAAAATAAAATCTTGCATATATTGTTTGATTTTGATCATTAAAATAAAATAACAAATAAATAATAAATAAATAAAATAAAACAAAACAAAATCTTGCATATATTGATTGATTTTGATCTTTAAAATGAAATAAAATAAAAAATAATTAATAAATTAATAAAAATAATAAATATATAAAACAAAACAAAATAAAACCTTACATATATTTTTTGATTTTGATCAGTAAAATAAAAATAATAAATAAATATAAATAATAAATAAATAAAACAAAACAAAATCTTATATATATATATATATATATATATATATATATATATATATATATAGTTTGACTTTGATCATTAAAATAATATAATAAATAAATAAAAATAATAAATAAATAAAACAAAACAAAATCTTACATGTATTGTTTGATTTTGATCATTAAAATAAAATTAAATAAAATCTTACAAATATTGTTTGATTTTGATCATTGAAATAAAATTAAATAAATAATAAATAAATGAATATAATAAATAAATTTAAAAAACACATTTTTTTTACATATATTGTTTAATTTTGCTCATTATAATAAAGTTAAATCAAATTAAATAAAAAACAAAACAAAAAAATAATAGAATAAATGGCAGTTTATGCAGTGGCGACCCCTGATAAAGCAGGGAAAATTAACTTAAATTAAATTAAATATATGGCAGTTCATTTTGCTGTGGAGAACCCTGATAGGGCCTAAGTCAAAAGAAATTGAGTGAGAAAATTAAAGTTTTATTATATCTGATTTAATTTCAGATGATCATCTCATAAAAGCATAGTAGGCCTACATAATATTATTCAAAATAATATAGAATATAACATAAATCTCATGTTATTTAATCAATTCAATTACAAATAATTTAGCCATCAACCGACTGGATGAAGTTCTGAACAAAAGGTTAAAAACCCGGGTTTGTTTTTGTCAGATTACAGCTTTACAACTGTAAAGCACGTATAGCTCATGCAAAGTGGGTCTCCTGTTCTTTTGATGTCAACATTGTGGTTAATAAAGGTCTTCTATTTTTAGTGCATGATGAAAAAAGTAGCTTGTTGCACAGAGTGTTGAGTCATATGCATCTCTGGAAAACTCTGTTTTCATGAGTAACCAGTAAAAACCCCTTTGGAGTCCCTATTATGCACTACTAGCTTTACTGTTACTTCCTGATGACCTTAACAAGCCCTGTCACTAATGAAAAACATATATATTAAATATAAAACTTTGATCTCCATACAAAATCTCCTATGGGTGCACATCAAAGGCTTGGACAAGATTAGTTTACATTGAAAACGTGCAAGAGAGAGTTCATCTGTCAATCTGTCAGTCTAGTGTATAGTCAAGTGTGTGACTGTGTTGAGTGTGTGCATAATCAGATTCAGTTGTGTATTGAGGTCGCTCGGTAAGTGCACGAGCGTATGTGGTTTAATGTGTGTTTGCGTTCGTTCAAATATGTATTTATAATATTTTAATGCTTGAATGATCAGATAAAATAAACCTAGGTCGTTTTTAGTTTTTTTTAATTGTTAACGTCGTCAACGAAGTTAGATTAGCGCGCTAGCAGCGTGACTAGCCTATGATTCGGCGTTATTTCACTTCAGTCCGTTTTATTGTAACAAAAATATATATATATCATCATTGCGTAAATATTAATTTTAACTGAAATGTGTTTCATGCGATTTTGAAGACTGATACACGAATTTTAACGTCGACAACGTTAACGTTAAATGATAAGGCTGCGCTTTCCTCCGTCATTGATTAAAGTAACGTTAGCTAGCTTAGTCATCGAATTTTTTTAAAAACTAACGTTAGCTGTGACCAAGTAACTAGGGACCTGCTTTTTATACTATTTACGACATTATTTTACATGTTAAGTTGTTTTTGTGTCAACATACAATAAGGTTGATAATTTTGTCTTTCTTACTATATTTGTCACCTGGAAGCTGTTTTTTTTTCCTCAAGGTAATGATGATGAGGACTTCTGGCTCCAGAGGGTCCAGCATGACCCACAGTCCCTGGACAAACAATTCTCCATCACCTCCACCTTTCTCAGACTTCACCGACATCAACAACAATAACAGACGTTCACCTGGACAACCATTGGTTCCCAACAACAAAATTAGTTAGGCATTGACATTTAGTTCACTCTTTTGTGTTTCTGGAAAACTGAGGTATATTTGAAGAGTTTAGATGCAAAAATCTCTAAATGATGTCTAATATTTTCCTCTAAAATAGCATTTTTATCAGGCTCCTGTGAGTATTTTCCATAATAATCACTTTTATGGCAAAGAATAAGTCCTTTTCCTGATCTTTAAAGTGAAATATCTCAACATAAACAAAGGAGGCTGTGAAAAATATTAATTTTCGGTGGGAATTTTAGACGGCCCTTAGAGGTTTTTGCATCAAAACTCTTCTTTTAGTTATTGGGGTAAAGTTGTTTTATATTCGCACATTCAGACTTTCTCCTTAATATTACATTGTTAGAAAAGTATTCTTTGCAAGCTCTAAATAGGGAAATCATATTAGCAGCCAAAGACTAAGAAAGTACAACTTTGTTTAAAGTCAAATAAACAGTGCTGATGTTGTTTTGAAGTCATACTTGCATGCTACTTCTGACCAAATATTCAAAGTAGCATGGTAAACAATATAGGCACATTGTCACTGAACAAATGTGTGCATATAAAACCAACTTTACCTCATTAATTTGGTTTTATATTCTCACATTTTGACTTTCACTTGCTTAGTTTAATTTCAGAAAAGTATTATTTGCAAATTCTAAATGGTGAAATTGTATTAGCAGCCAATCACTATCAAAAGTATAGCATTGTTCACGGTCAATTAAGTAGTGCTGATGTCGTTTTGAAGTCATTCTTGCATGCTACTTCTGACCGAATATTCAAAGTGGTATGGTAAACAATATAGGCACATTGTCACTGAACAAATGTGTGCATATAAACAAACTTTACCTCATTCATTTGGTTATTTATTCTCACATTCTGACTTTCACTTGCTTAGTTTAATTTCAGAAAATCATTCTTTGCAAACTCTAAATAGGGAAATCTTATTAGCAGACAAAGACTAAAAAGTACAACGTTGTTCACAGGTAAATAAATAGTGCTAATGTTGTTTTGAAGTCCTTCTTGCATGCTATTTCTGACCAAATATTCAAAGTTGCATGGTAAACAATATAAGGAGCTTGTCACAAGTTGTCACTGATCGAAAGTGGGAATATAAAACCAGCTTTACCTCATTATTTGGTTTTATATTCACACATTCGGACTTTCACCTGCTTGGTTCAATTTCAGAAAAGTATTCTTTCCCAATTCTAAATGGTAAACACATATTAGCAGAGAATGACTATCAAAGTACAACTTTGTTTAAAGTCAAATAAATAGTTCTAATGTTGTTTTAAAGTCATACTTGCATGCTTTTTCTGACCGAATTTTCAAAGTGGTATGGTAAACAATATATACCCCTTGTCACTGAACAAATGTGTGCATATAAACCAACTTTACCTCATTAATTTGGTTTTATATTCTCACATTCTGACTTTCACTTGCTTAGTTTAATTTCAGAAAATCATTCTTTGCAATTTTTTTAGATAGGAATTTAAGATGTATTCAAACACATCATAAACATCTTGTGAAACGGATCGATAGACAGGAAAAAGTGTGGCAGGCTTTAACATGTTTTTCTTGTAAACATTGCTCTTTTGCAGATTCAAAGCCGAAGATTCTTCCCCGTGAGTTGATTGACAGATATAAGCGTGGAGATACTCACCCGGTGTCAGCGTTGTACCAGCTCTCACAAGTTCTGCAGTTTCAGCTGGATCTGAAAGAAACCGTGACCACTGGTGAATGTTGGATTTTACCTTATCTCTGTTATTACACTGCAGGGCATGCATGCATTCATACTGCAAACAATGCTTTCTGTCTTGTCTCCAAATAACTATATTTTTTTAAATCAAGAAACATTTTCTAGACCAGCCTTGTTTTCCGAAATAATGCATCAAAATTAAGTGCGTAATCCTTAAAACATGCAACAAAATCTGCCAATGGGGCAAGCAAAATAATTTAAAGCAAGAGCAAGATTATTTCTGAAAACAAGACAACATTTTCTGCTTGTCTAGTTGTAGATATTTGCACTAGAAATAAGATGAAACTCTAAGAGAAGCATTTTTCTCTGTGTTTTGTGAGCAGCGGGGATTTCGGGCTTTTACTTTGCGTTCTGCGCTGTGATCGATGGAATCCAGTATAAGACCGGCATGGGGACCACAAAGAAAGAAGCCCGAGCCAAAGCATCAGAACTGGCCCTCAAAGAGCTCCTAGCCAGTCTAGAGAATGATGAGATTCCTTCAGATACTGATACCGGTAATGATCGAATGACGATTGAAATAAATGCAATTTATATAGAAAACTCAGTTTTCAATGTCAGTTCTAAGCATAATGAATACTTCAGATCAGATTTTTGGTTTAACCCCTAAACTGACTGTTACCGGCACTGGTTTATTTTCCTCCATTGTCTGCTTGCAAATAATATCGTGTGACCTTCTGCTCGACTCTTTCCATAGAATCGATGCGAGCACTTAGTCAGCCCTTCCATTATTAATATAAAGAAGCAAACTTTGAAATTCAATGTGAAAGTTTACCCACTCTCTCCCATTGAAACAGCCCATAATGTGTGTCATTTTACTGAAACCGCGGTGAAGCTCTTTCCTGTTTGAGGTGGGTTTGCAGCTTTTGTCTTTTGATGCAAAAATCAACAACAAAAAAAGTGATGTTCACACATTGAGCTGGCATTTAATCTTATCTTCTGCATCATTTTCGTTTGCGTAAATCTAACCGTATTACCTTGTAAACACATTAAAAACTTTTAAAAGTTATGCATAGAGTTGAATGAATGTTAAATTAGAATTATTTTATATATTTTCCCCAATTTTATAGTTAAAATGTAATAGTTTTAATAACTTATTTTCTAATAGCTGATTTCTTTTCTCTTTGCCATGATGACAGCACATAATATTAGACTAGACATTCTTCAAGACACTAGTATTCAGCTTAAAGTGACATTTAAAGGCTTCACTAGGGTAATTAGGGTAAAGTTAGGGTAATTAGGCAAGTCATTGTATAACAGTGGTTTGTTCTGGAGACGATCCAACACTAATATTGCTGAAGGGGGCTAATAATATTGACCTTAAAATGTTTTTAAATAATTAAACTGCTTTTATTCTAGCCGAAACAAAACAAGTAAGACTTTCTCCAGAAGAAAAAATATTATAGGAAATACTGTGAAAAATTGCTGAATCTGTGCAACATCATTTGGGAAATATTTAAATTTAAAAAATAATAAGGGCTAACAATTCTAACTTCAAATCTATATGGTAATGTAATCGGACTACTTTTGGATTGCATTTGCATTACTTTTGTGCTAACCCTTATTTGATGTTTGGTGTCAATGAAAAAACATCAACACCGGATGAATAGAATCTATGAATTGTGAACAATTCAACTATTGAGTAAATAATATCTGAGTGCATAATAATCCAGATTACATATAATTTATTGCTCTCCAGATTTTTTAACAACTATATATAATAAAATTATATAATGAAATGATATATAAACAGTAATACAATATATAATATTGTATTATATATTACATTGTATTCTTATTATAGTTTAAATAGTGCTGGGTAAAGATTAACCGTGATTAATCACATCCCAAATAAAAGTTTGTTTTCACATAATATATATATGTGTATATATATATATTATATATGTGTATATATATATTATATATGTGTATATATATATATATTATATATATGTGTATATATATATTATATATATGTGTATATATATATTATATATATGTGTATATATATATTATATATGTGTATATATATATTATATATGTGTATATATATTATATATATGTGTATATATATATTATATATATGTGTATATATATTATATATATGTGTATATATATATTATATATATGTGTATATATATATATTATATATGTATATATATATATATATTATATATGTATATATATATATATATACATATTATATATATATTATATATTATATATATATGTATATATATTATATATATATGTATATATATATATATTATATATTATATATATATGTATATATATTATATATATATATATATATATGTTATATATATGTATATATATATAATATATATGTGTATATATATATGTATATATATATATATATATATATATATATATATATATATATATTTATTATATATATGTATATATATATATATTATATATATGTATATATATATATATTATATATATGTATGTGTGTGTGTGTGTGTGTATATCAAATTTTTATCTTGGATATGATTAATCCCTTAATTTTTGCCTAGCTAATATGATATAATATGATTTACTAGAATAGTTAGTGGTTCATTCCACTGTGGCGACCTCTGATAAATTGGGGACTAAGCCGAAGGATTATGAATAATATAAAATAGTATCTGTTACTACTCACTCTGGTCATATAATATCTGTGGTTCTTGCATAGATTTGGGGATTTGAACAAACACTATTAATTAGCTTAATTGCATATTTCCTAAGTGAAGGTCATGTATTGGTCATATATATAAAGAACACCTTGCAGAACCATCCTGAAAACTCAATTTTAATTAGCTAAATAATAAAATCACACACACATTAAATCTGAATATTGCAAGACTTGAATGTAGAGGTCATAAATGTGCAAGAGCTGCTGTTTTCTTTAATTTGTGTGTTTTCTGTTTTCAGTGGGCCCTCCTCCTCTACCAGTAAGAGAGAAGGAATCAACAATCACGCAAATCCATTCTGGAAGAGCTGTGATTGGTAAATCATTTCTTAAAGTGTGGATGTATTTAAAGCATTACTCCACTTATTTTTTTTTTTTTGTTCAATCCGATTGAATGAATTATGCTATGCTAAGCTAAAAGTGCCAGACCAGGAGATCGGCTAAATGGATTCAAACATGGTAAAACTAATCTATGTAATTCTAGGAAAGCTGTAAAATGAGTCTTATTTCCAAAAAAGTGGGGTGTTAATTTAATTTTTGTTAACAGGAAAATGATCAAAAATCTCTTTAGTAATTTTTAAGTGAGACACTAATGCTCTAATCTGATTCAATGAACTATGCTAAGCTAAAACAAGCTAAAAGTGCAAGATCCTGAGATCAGCCGAATGGTTTAAACATGGTAATACTCGCCTATTTAATTCTAGTAGAGCTGTAAATGAGTCTATTTCCAAAAAAAAGTGGAGTGTTTATGTAATTTTTGATAATGGGAAAACTATTAAAACTCTAGTATTTTTGAGGGAGATGCTAATGGTCTAATCTGATTCAATGAACTATGCTAAACTAAGCTGAAAGAGCCACTCCTGGAGATTGGCTGAATGGATTCAAACATAGTAAAACTCAACTCTTTAACTCTAGAGAAGCAGTAAAATGAACTTATTTCTAAAATAATGTTGAAGTGATCATTTAATATTTGATAACAGTAAGATGATCAAATCTCTTTAGTAATTTTTGACCGAGATGCTAATGGTCTAATCTGATTCAATGAATTATGCTAAGCTAAGATAAAAGTGCTAGACCAGAAGATCGGCTCATTGGGTTCAAACATGTTAAAACTCATATATTTAAATCTAGGGGAGTTGCAAAATAAACTTATTTCTAAAATAAAGTTGGAGTGTTCATTTAATAATTGATAATAGGAAAATCATCAAATCTCTTTAGTAATTTTTAAGCGAGATGCTAATGGTCTAATCCGATTCAATGAACTATGCTAAGCTAAACAACAAGTGTCACTCCTGGAGATTGGCTTAATGGATGCAAACATGCTAAAACTCTTTTTTTTTTTCCTCTAAGAAAGCTATAAAATTAGTGTATTTCCAGAAAATGTGGAGTGTTCATTTAATACTCAATAATAGTAAAATGTATAACAGTAAAATGATAATAGTAAAAAATAAGTAAAATAAAAAAATAATAGTAAAATGATCAAAAATCTCTTGAGTAATTTTTGAGTGAGATGCTAATGGTCTAATCTGATTCAATGAACTATGCTAAGCTAAGCTAAGCTAAAAGTGCCAGACCAGGGGCCTCATGTATCATTGCTGCGTACGCACAAAAACTTTGCGTACGCCAGGTTTCACGCTCAGAATCGCTTACGTTTGGATTTACTAACGATGAACTGAACGTGGGAATGTGCGCAGCTCCACGCCAGCTTTATGGCTGGCGTACGCAGATTTTTTGTGCGTGTCTGTTTTATTTCCATTGGCGACTTCTAGAGGCACGCAAGTCTTCGTACATGAGGCCCCAGGAGATTGTCTGAATGAATTAAAACATGGAAAAACTCAACTTTTTCCTTTAGGAGAGCTGTAAAAATTATTGCATTTCAAGAAAAAGTGGAGTGTTCATTTAATATTTGATAAGATGAATATTATCAAGTCTCTTTAGGAATTTTTGAGTGAGATGCTAATGGTCTAATCCAGTTTATTAGCTATTACTAGGCTAAATGGATTCAACATGATAAAACTCCCCTATTTAACTTCTGGAGAGCTGTAAAAGAAGTCTGTTTACAAAATAATGATTATTTAATAGCCCATTTAAAAACTGCTTAAGTCAACGCTGAAATGTTTTAGCCATGATAATAACCTTTTCTATTAATGTGGAATTTGTAAATATCTGTGAACGTGACTAATAGTTTAATTGTGGTTGGGTTTTTTTTACACAGAAAGGAAGAACCCTATAAAGGACCAGGTTCCCAGCGTGGTGAGGGAGATGTTTACAAAGCTAATGGACAATTACCCAGAATTCTCAGGCTGTGGCGGAACGTTGGCTGCATTTGTCATGCTCTCTCGTAAGTCAAAACGCAGCGGATGTCAGCCCACAATTTTTTAGTGTGGTATTTGTATTTCTACGTCAGGTGGTATTTAATATCTGAACAGATTCAGTCTGTCCTGCACAGAATCTGCATCATCAGATCTCGCAGAATGCGTCATCAAAATTATTATGGGTCATATGTACCTCAAAAACCTCAAAGTCTTTTTGGGTAGATTTTTTAATGATGCTTAAAAATAGTACATGATTTGATTGACTGATTTTGATTTATTATAATTATGATAAATACACAAATACATGTATTACAAAAAATATATATATATATTTTGGATGCAATTAATTGTGATTAATCTTTGCCCACCACAAGTATTTTTATATTTATTGTTTATTATTTTACTATTGTTCAAAAAGTAATAGTGTTACTATACATAACATTATGTTTGTAATGTGAACGGGATGCTGAAGAGGAAGTGCGGATCCAAATACAGGGATTATTTTGTAAGGTCCACCCAGTTGGCCCAATGTCGGTGTCCACTGGTGGATGAAGGTTCAACTGAATCGATTCACAGGTGTGAAAGCACCCTTATAGTCTTATAACTGTGTATACGTATTCATATTTTATA